ACAAATTACACACACACACACACACACACACACACACACACACACACACACCTTCTTTTTTATTATGCTTTTTCTGGGAAAGAAGGGTGAGTGGATGAAAGAAACTTTGTAACACTGCCAACTAGAGGGCTTGGAAAATACTTTATTTGAAGCTGAGAGAACTGTGAAAAACTCTCTCTCAAGGACACTGGAACTTGATAAGATAGAGGGAAGAACACTGGAGAATGTTTTCACAGGTGTTCTTTGGGACTTCTTTCAACAATTGAATATTTGAAGCTTGGCTTTGAAATTTGTGGAGAAGTCATAATAAGAGCCTTGGATAATTAAATAAAATGCAGTGTGCTCTTTTTCTACTTTTTCTTAGCTGTCTTATCCCTCCTCTTCAACCCCATAGTATTTTGTAATATTTGTATATTTATTTTTATTTTTATTTTTAAAGGGAAAGCCTCAGAATATCCTTTTCTTTTTCTTATTGGGACTTTTGCCTTTTCCATTTTCATTTTTGATCCATTTTTATGGCTATTTTTTATTATTCAGATCTTTCAACTGGATTAAGGTATGAAGAACCTGAAGAATTCTTTTTTTTTTCTTACTACTTTTTAATACCATTGGGTCTTATTCTTTTTCTTTTTACTTTTTACTATGAATCATAATTGACTATCCCACAATAGGATTAAGGTCCAGAAGAACCTGAAGAACCTTTTCTTTTTTCCTTTTAATTTTGGGCTTTTTAATTTTTATTGTCTCTTTTTTATTCTTTTTTTCCTTCTTTTTCCCTAATGGATTATAATTGGCCACTCTACTAACCGGAATATTGAATTTTTTAATATATAAAAAAGAGCAACTTTTACCCACAATCAGGCAAAGCAGGCAGGCAGATTGAGTTGCTCAGAGAATCACAGATTCATTCAGAGATCTATCTGTCTGCCATTGGCTAGCTCAGTCTGTCACATAAAATTTGCTAGCAAGCAAACTCACAAAATTAACTCACAACACATCATGTATGTAAATATTGAATTTTTTTATAAAAAAAGAGCAACTTTTACCCAAAATCAGGCAAAACAGGCAGGCAGATTGAGTTGTTCACAGAATCATTCAGTGATCTATCTATCTGCCATCGGCTAGCTCAGTCTCTCAAATTTGCTTGCTCTGAGTCAGCACTGAATAATAGAACCTTCAGTCCTAAGGGAGATTCGGCTGTGCTTAAAAGCAGAGCCAAAGATCTAAAGATTAGCTAAAAAGCAAGAAATCCAACCATTTCCTGCTTCCTAGCTAATCTAAATCTCCCAGCACAACAGATCATGGTCGGAAAAAGGAAAAATAGCAATTTTAGCAGGCAAGTTTGCCGGGTAAGGAATGAGTGGGTGGGGAGGGTTCCCGCGGGCCATGTGGGCAGCGCAGCCTTGTGGTTCTCCCTACTCCCACCAAGTACCTTTGCTGCTGGGGGCTCTTGCGCAGGAAAGACGGGCCACACCAAGAGGCGGATGCTTCCGCTTTCCCATCTGCGCAAAGGGCACCGGCTCCCCCCACCCCTGCCACAGCCCCGGCAAGGGCGCGGGAGCTGACTTTAAAACGGATTCCATCCACGTCCCCTCAGGCAGCCAGAGCAGGGCTCAGCAGAGATGCCTCCGGCAGGACCGCAGAAGAGTGAGCCGCCCAGCCTGCTGCTGGCACGCCAACCTTTGACCAACGCTTTGCTCTGGGCATGAGTGGGCGCAGCGGCAACCCAGCCCAGCCCACACGTCCCGCTCCTCTCGGGGACCGCAAGCTCACTTGCCCCACTCAGCCTGGCTTCCAGCTCTACCGCCAGCCACTCTTACCTTACACAGCTGGCTCCTCCTGCTGGCTACACCTTGCAGGCTGAAAGCGCAGCCCAGTGGCGCCCAAGCCAGGGCTGCACGCTTTTCCCCTGCACCCTGCAGAGCTGGAATCCGCCACCCGCCGCGCAAACCCCAATGAGCAGACTCGCCTGCTCTCGGGGGAAGAGAAGCTGCGCTCTGCCAGCTCCTTTTCCCCCAAGCATGGGCGAGGCTGCTCATTGGGGTTTGCGTGGCAGGTGGCGGATTCCAGCTTTGCTGGGCCCCAGGGCGACAGCGAGCAGCCCCCACTTGGGCTGCGCTTTCGGCCTTCCGTGCGCCCGCAGGCACCATCATGTATACTTTGGCGGCGGCTCTGTAAGCAGAGAGTCTGTATCCTGTGCATCTCTGGGAGCGCCTGAAGCTTGACGGGGCTGCCTGGGCCCTTGGTGGTCCCATGCCCTGTTGCGAGCTTGGAGTCCATGGGTTGGAAAACAACCCCCAGACTTCCGAAGAGAACTTGTCAAGTCGGGGCAGGTTGGCCATGGCCACCACACCTGAATGGCGCAACTACATTCTTTTGGAAAGGTCTGGCTGAGAGACTTGGGAAAATCCCAGGAGGTTAGGGAGGGTAGAACAAAATTGGTGCGCTAGACCGGTCGGCTGGTGTTTGCACTGGGGGAAGAGGAGCTGGCGCAACGCCAGCCGTGGCAGGAGTGCCAGAAAGGCAGCCCATTTGCCTTTGTCTCTCGTGCAGTGGCAGGAAGCCGGACATTGCCAGGGCCGGGGGCTCTAAGCAACCCAGCAGTCAGCAGGGCAGGTTAAGAAAGCAGCCTCCTGAGTAACGGTTCCGAGTGCTGCAGCTTGATCCGAGCTTGAGCATGTCCACATAGCATGCCGAATTTGGCGCTTAATGGAGCTCTGCAGGTTTGCCAATGTACTGGACCAAGAACTACCCGCACAGGCTGAGCTGGCACGATGCACAGGGTGGAAAGTGGTTGGCTGCATGGGTGTCGTGGGAACACGGCCATTCACTGATAAGGGTGTAAATACACACGCGCACACACTACCACCAGGCTGCGCGTGGGAGGAAAATTAAGACATCCTCGAAAAGATGGCCTTGCCGTTTTTTTGGGGCTCAAAAAAAAAAAAAAGACCCGGCCTTATTTTATGAGAAACACGGTATTTACTGAGTCTGTATTACTATTCTTTTTCTCATCCTTCCTATTATTTATGTCCTCCCACTTATGACTATAGCCTTGTTGCTTGTATCTCTACGATTTATATTGTTTTATTTGTTTCCTAGTATGATTTGACTGCCTATTTAGTAACCTATGACTAAGTGTTTTATCACATGATTCTTGATGAATGAATTTTTTCTTTCTTTTTATGCACCAAAGACAAACTCCTTGTGTGTCCAAACACATTTGCTCAATAAAGAATTCTATTCAATTCTAAAAAGGGATCAAACATGTTTTAAATCCATTTAAACGCCATTCAAAAACAGCCAACCTGACAGAGGTGGAAGGGACCTTATAGGTCATCTAGTCCAACCCCCTGCTCAAGCAGGAGACCCTATACTGTTCTGGACAAATGGCTGCCCAATCTCTTCTTAATAACCTCCAGTGATGGAGCCCCCACAACTTCTGGAGGGAAAGACGTTCACTGTTTAATTGTTCTCGCTGTCAGGAAGTTTCTGCTTAAGAAAGGAAGGAAGCACATTGGTTTGCAGGAACTTCTGTCAACTGAGTTTTAATCTTTCTGTGGAGTTGATTCCTGGACTTTTTACCTAGTAAAGCCGATACGTACTAGCAAAAACTTACTGGAATCACACGACTCCCTTTCTGTAAGCACAGTTCTGGCTTCTGTTATATAAACCAGCTGTCAACTTCGAACCGAACCTGGCACCAGCCCTACCTCCTCCCTTGCTGGGACTGTGTGCTTTCAAAAGTGGGACCCTCCTAATTTAGCTGAGGGATCTGAATCCTGTCCCTCCCCCCAAATCCCCATGAGGAAGATATGCATTCCATAGAATCCAGAGGTGAATTGGTGGCCTGAACTACAGAGGGGCACCTCCACCTGCCTCCAGGAACCTATTTTAAGAGGGACACAAAGGCCAAAAGCACAGAGCTGGTAAAGAGTCAGAAGGAAGCAGAGGGATTTAATTTAGTTTACTTTATTGTCATTGCACCTCATACAACGAAATCATAGATAGATGCAGGGGTGGGAATTCTACCGGCTCGGACCGGTTCTATAGAACCGTTTGTTACGATTCTGCAGAGTTCGGAGAACCAGCAAATCGTACCCATGGCTGGCCCCTCCCCTCCCCTCCCAGTCAGTCCTTAGCGACATCACTGACTGTGTTCTTCCCCACCCAGTCACTCCTTAAAGTATTACATTTTCCCCCCTCCCGACGACCAGCTGTTCTGATGATCAGCTGTGCCGGAATCCCCCTCGCTGTCTTAGTGCTTCACCCAGGAGGTTATCCTGAGGCCCAGGAGGCAAAAAGGGACACGCAGGGGTTGTGCTGTGCCCCCCCTGCACTCCGTTTTTTTGCCTTCCTGGGAGCAAAAATGCCCCCCCAGGAGGCTTCCCTGAGGCCCAGGAGGCCAAAAAAATGGGGAGGGGTGTGTGTGCAAAAGAAGCCCACCCTACATGGCCACGCCCATATAGCCACGTCCACAGAACCGGTTGTTAAAAAAATGGAATCCCACCCCTGGCCAGAGAGCCAAAGCCACTCCGAAGGTTGAAGGAAGGCTGCTGTGAGAAGGATCTCCAAGGAAGGACCAGAGAGATGATGCCAACACTCAAGCAGCAACACTCAGGCGGCTTCCTACTTACTGACATGAGCCTCTTGTACTCGTCCAGCCTTTGCTTGTTGGAAGCAATGAAGAGTCCTCCGTTTTGGATCCAGCCCGAGTGGAGGCCCGTCTCTTCCTCCAGCTCCCAGCTGATCACATTCCGGGTGTGAGTCAACAGCTCCACCTCCACATCACTCGGGCGCAACTGCCACAAGAGCCCTGGGGAAGGGGAAGGCAAGGAGGGAAGGCCATAAGGACACAACTGGGCCACAAGCCTGCAGGGCTTTCTGAGGGGGTCCCAAGGGAGGAGCAGCTCCTTCAGACTCCTTTGCCTCCATTTGTTGCTCCCAGGGATGAAGGGAGGAATTTGGAAAACACCGAGTGGCATCAAGAGCCAAACCAGTCATTGGCCCCCTAGAGCAAAATTCTCTTTTCACCGAGTCCATGAAGTGGGTGTCCTAAAGGAATGATCTACACTTCATGGGCCCAGTGAAAAGACTCATGCTAAAGTTTACATGTATTAACTTAAAACAGGTTCTAAAGCGTAAACACTGAAGACACAATTACATTCAGCCAGGTGCTATGAATTCCAATTGAACAGCAATGTGATGTGCGGTGGATTCAGCAGGGGATAGAAAGAATTGCAAAGAATGAAATTCTCTGTCTTCTCCATTTGCAAAAGGCTCCCTGCCAGGACCACCCTCAGGACTGATGATGTGTTCGTTTGTTCATTCGTTTGACTTGTCTGCCACCCTGCTGGCCTAGTTATTCCCACACCCAACCTGAGGGCCTTTCCTTCAGATCTGGTGGCACCAAGAACAATCAGACTCATTTGTTTGACCTGTTTGAGCAGGGGGTTGGAGTAGATGACCTACAAGGTCCCTTCCAACTCTGTTAATCTGTAATCTGCTGTATTTATGTGGAAGGAAAGCTCTGGCCTGGAGGGGCCTTATCAGAAAATTAATTATCTAAGGCTACGGCGATTACTGGGAGCCACATATAACAAAAAGGGTCTTTCACTTCCCCGTTGGGAAAGAGCTGGGCATATTTGGAGCATCTTGAGACACAGACTGGAGTTTGATGCTGACTCTCGGGAAATATTCATGGAAAATACTATTTTACGAATAGGTTGAGATGTTCTATTGGAAAGGATTATTATTTCATAATTCAGTATGGACAGATTTTGGAACCTCAGTTTGTATCACAAACTTAAATGTATCTTTAAAGTTGAAATTACTGACATTCACAAAGATAATGGACAATGAATATTATAATATTTGATAATGGAACTAAGTCCTTAAAATTGTTAAATTTGTTTCTTTGGACTTGAAATTAATGCATCAAAAGATTTTACTTGGACTTTATTGTAACCCAAAAATGCATCTCTGAAAGATTTTCTTAGTTGATGATATAGGAAATCTGGAAATACATTAAAGATTTGGTCTTGTCTGTTTCTTTCTGGAATAAAATTATTTCACAGGTTAATACATTCCTGGATATTTTCATGTTAAAAAGCTAATATTATTTTGATTTCTATCTCCAAATTTTTTACTTTGTTTCAGAAGAACTCTGCCTATGCAGGTCATGGGAATAGCAAAAGGGAGTAACACAGAGAAATTGGAACTGTAGTACTGCTCTGGACATCTAGGTTTGTTTAAGAAGTGTAGAGTTTATCCATTTTTGAAAAGACTGGATTTTGTAACACAACAAGGTCTCATTGAAATGGATCTCCTAATATTTAACAATGATTTTTTTTTAAGGAGTAACATTTTTATTGAATTTTCTCTTTGAGAACTCTGGTGGCAGTCCCCCTGGGGATCCATGACCTTATTTCTGATGGGGACATTCTCTGGCCTGGCAATTTTGTAAACGGTGTGCCTTTTTATGGTGGTGCATGGTGGCACAGGGCTAGAGTGGTGGCTACTTCTGCTGACTGCCAGCTGACTGCAATTTGGCAGTTCAAATCTCACCAGGCTCAAGGTTGACTCAGCCTCCCACCCTTACGAGGTGGGTAAAATGAAAACCCAAAAGTTGTTGGGGGCAAGAGGCTGACTCTGCACAATGCTTAGAGATGACTGCAAAGCACTGTGAAGTGGTATATAAGTCTATTGCTTCGTCCCTCCATCCCACCCGGTGGTTAGAATGTGGTATTGTAGGCTAACTCTGCCCACTGCCATCAGTTCGATCCTGACCGGCTCCAGGTTCACTCAACCTTCCATCCTTCCAAGGTGGGTAAAATGAGGACCCAGATTGTTGGGAGCAATAGGCTGACTCTGAAAAAAATGCTTAGAGGCGGCTGTGAAAGCATTGATATAGCTATGTATAAGTCTAAGGGCTATTGTTATTACATGGGTACCAGATAAAGGTAGCAGCTGCAGGGATGAACCATCAGTGTAATCACTGTAAGGAAAACATTTAAGCTTGAGGATCTGATCAGCTGCTAAGAGAAGAGAAGACTGCTTTCTGGCCCCATCCTGACCAACAGCTTGGATCACACGAGTGATGGACCCTCCACGATGGCCACCCACATAATCCCGCAAAGAGGACCCTCCCACCAGCAGCTCCCTTCTTTACCTGCGGTGTGCCAGGTGGTCCCCGAGGTCAAACGGTCCCTTTCAAGCAGGACCACGTTGGTCATGCCCATCTTGGCAAGGTGGTAGATTGTCTGGCATCCGAGGCTGCCCCCACCCACCACCACCACATCTGCGGAGGCAGGAAGGGGCTTTATAGGCCCTCCACGGGAGGAGTGGCCCTCTTCCTTCAGCGTCTTCTGGTATGGGACATTCTTCTCCGTAGTCAGGCCAGCACCGCTAGTGAAGAACCGGAGCCCTCGTCCAGAGTGGGGTAATTGTCGAGCTGCTGCTGTTGCTTGGAGCACACGCCCCAGGTGGGCCATGGCCACCTGAAGAGAGAGGACATTGTTGCCAGGCCCCCAGAAGACAAAGAATATACTCCCGGGGAACCAACCAGCTATGATGCCCCCGTGAGAACTGGACGCCGTCTCTGCCAGGAAAATTCTTCTTCCCCACATTATCCAAGTTAGCAAAGCCTGGGAGCTCCCTGCCTCAGCCTGGCCAAATTGCCATATTATGTTCCTTGCTCAGCTCTGGGCTCCAGACGCAATGGGGCAAGCCAACCAAAGCCTCAGTGGGGCGGAAATAAGTGGAACCATACAAGGAAGGAGGAGGAGGAGGAGGAGGAGGAGGAGGAGATAACTGCCTCAGGTCATTTGAAGGGCTTTAAATGAAAAAGGGAAGAAGAGGGTGACTAATCTTTAAGAGCAAACCCCAAGCACAACCTTTTTTAGTAGAGGTGGAAGGGACCTTGGAGGTCTTCTAGTCCAGCCCCCTGCTCAAGCAGGAGATTCTCTCTGGATAGACTAGACTAGACTAGACTAGACTAGAAATCTAGTCTCTTCTTAAAAACCTCCAGTGGTGGAGCGCCCACAATTTCTGGAAGCAAGCTATTCCACAAATCAGACAATGAAGAAGGCGATGGTGAGAAGGAAGGGGAATCTAATACAAATCAGGAGATGTAGGAAGCAAATGCAGCCATAAAGAGCTCAGATGCCTATACACTAATGCCCAGAGTTTGGGGAACAAAGAGGGAGAACTTGAAGTCCTGGTACATAAGGGGAAGTACAAAATTGTTGTCATTATTGAAACTTGGTGGGATGGAACCCATGATTGGAACATACTGCTAGGACATAAATTGTTCAAAAGAAACAGACCTAACAAAAGAGGAGGAGTTACACTGTATGCAAGAAACCACTACACCTCTACAAAACTACACAATACCATGGATGAAAGCCTTTCAGAACGCATTTGTGTGACTATCAGAGGGGGAAAGGAATGATATCGCCATAGGCATATACCCAACCAAGGAGGAAATAGATAACTTTCTGTTAATCAGTAAAGTGTAGTGTGCAGGAAACACACCACTGCAGCAATGGGAGGCAACCACTTTATAAATACTTAGTAAGATCACACCTGGAATATTGCATCCAGTTTTGGTCACATCACAAAAAAGATGTTGAGACTTTGGAAAATGTGCAAAGAAGAGCAACTAACATGATTAAAGATCTGGAGACTAAAACATATAAAGAATGGTTGCAGCTATTGGTTTGGGTAGTTTAGAGAAAAGAAGAATTAGGGGTGACATTATAGCACTATTCCAGTATTTGAGGGTCTGCCACAAAGAAGAGGGGGTCAATCTATTATCCAAAGCACCAGAAGGCAAGACAAGAAACCATGGATGGAAACTGAACAAGGAGAGAAGCAACCTGGAATTGAAGAGAAACTTCCTAACAATGAGGACGATTAACCAGTGGAAGAGCTTGCCGTCAGAAGTTGTGGGTGCTTAATCATCTATTCATTTTAGGTGAGTTCAAATCAACAGGACCAGATGGATTGCATCCCAGGGTTCTGAAGGAACTGGCAAATGTCATCTTGGAACTACTTGGGGTGGAGGGAATCAAAGCTCCTGGAGCATGGGGGAACTGCCAGAGGACTGGAAAAGAGCTGGTGTGGTTCCAACAATGGAACCAAGACTCTACAACCAATGCTTGACACTGATTACCTGCAAAATCAGGCAGCAGGTTTGTGAGCACCGAGAAATGAACAGGAAGCCAACCTGGGTTTCTTAAAAAGTAGGTGATGCTGAACAAAGCTTATTGCCTTGTGGATCAGGGAAATACCGTGGGCATAGTTTACTTAAACTTCAGCAAGGTATTGGATAAAGGAGACCGCAGCATACGTCTTGGTGAGATAGAACGATGTGGAGAGACAGCATAACCACCACATGGATTCATAACTGTCCGACCAACCGCACTCAGTGTGAGAATGAAAACTGCATCTACATGGAGGGAAGTAAGCAGTCAGATTCCTCCGGGTTCTGTCTTAGGCCAGAACTCTTCAACGTCTTCATAAACAATTTAGATGAGGGGATAGAAGAGAAACCCATCAAATCTGCAGATGAAACCAAGGTCGGAGGGATTGACTCAGACTTTTGCTAGTTCTGGTTACCACAATACAAAAAAAGATGTAGATACCCTGGAAAGTGTGCACAGAAGCGTAGCAACATAAGGGGTTGAGGTTAAATCTGTAAGATGAACCGTTGGGGGAACTAGGTGTTAGCCTATTGAGAAGAACTGGGGGGGGGGGGGGGGGGGGG